CTCCTGAAAGAAGCGTCTCCCATAGTTACTCGCAGTCTAACTTTTATAATAAATCAGCCAATTACCACTGGAATATTTCCAAATGCTTGGAAACGAGCTAGAGTTTCGCCAATATTTAAAGAAGACCTCAGGACTGATCCTAACAACTACAGACCTATCTCAGTTCTGCCTGTAGTAAGTAAATTAATTGAAAGAGTTGTTTTTAACCAATTATATGAATATTTAAATAATAATAACTTGTTAACTGAATCACAATCTGGCTTCAGACCTATGTTTTCCACTGAAACAGCTTTACTTGAGGCTACGAATGAATGGCTATGGAATATTGACGACAGTCTCTTAAATGGTGTGATATTCCTGGACTTGAAAAAAGCTTTTGATACCATGGATCATGCTATCCTTCTGGGAAAGCTTAAACTCTATGGGGTCAGTTCTCAATCCCTTAACTGGTTCCAGTCCTATCTATCTGACCGAAAGCAACAAACGTTCATTGATGGAGTTCAATCTGATTTCTGTAATATAACATGTGGTATTCCACAGGGGTCTATTTTAGGCCCTCTCTTATTCACTATTTATATTAATGATCTCCCTTCATGTAATTTGTTTTCAAAACCCAGAATGTATGCAGATGATACTACCCTTACCACATCTGCAGAAGACCCATGTGTCCTTGAACATAAAATGAATTATGATATGAATTTAATCCAGTCATGGCTGTCAGCAAACAAATTAACTTTAAATGTTAAGAAGACTAAATACATGCTTATAGGGAGCCAATTTAAGTTATCCCAAATAAACAGTGACTTCACAGTCAAAGTCAATAATACACCCTTAGAAAGAGTAATTAAACATAAATCCCTTGGAGTTCAAACTGATGAATCTTTGAACTGGCGCCCACACATTCATACCATTTCAAAGAAAATATCCGCTGGTATTGCTATCTTAAGGCGTGTAAGTCATTTTATACCATTTGATACTAGAGTGAACATGTACAATGCACTGGTAATGCCATATTTTAATTACTGTGGTGCCGTTTGGGGTAATATCAATAAGGGACTAGCAGACAAACTTAAAAAACTGCAGAATAGGGCTGCTAGAATTCTCACTTTTTCTAACTATGACGTTCGCTCAAGTGTTTTGTTGGATGAGCTTGGCTGGGAAAGGCTAGAATATGCAAGACTTAAACAGTTGGCTGTGACAATGTATAAAATCCATAATAATCTTTCCCCATCGTATCTGAGGCGGATCTTTACCAACACCTCAAATGTACATTCACACAATCTTAGAAATTCTGAGTTAAATTATTATGTCCCCAGACCCAGAACTGAGTCTGCAAAAGGGAGCCTACACTACAGAGGATCTGTTCTGTGGAACAAGATTCCCTCAGAGATTAGAAAACTGCCTAGTTTTAATGTTTTTAAAACTTCAATTCGTGGGAAAGATTTTTCTTATACACCATGACCCATTGTAACTCTTATTATTCATAATGTAAGTTTTTGTATTTTTAACATTATAGTCAATAGTTCCTTAGAGTATTTTAGTCTACTTTTAAACACGATTCCTAGGAAGACCATGTAATATGATACGATTTCGTGTATAAATAAAGATTGATGATGATGATGATGATGAAGGTCATCATAGTCACAATGCACGTGTCTTCAGTTCACAAATCACGATCAGGAACTAGCGTTTTTGATTCCACAAATAAGAATCTTTTAAGCCTGAATCCTTTTACGTTTCCGTATCCGGAGTTCCTGTCGGCTCGAATTCCGTAACCTGTTGATTAAATATGTGAGCCTAACGAACTGTTGTTGGTTCTGGAGTTTACTACTTATTCTTTTTTAGAAAGATAATTACGCATGTTTACTCTTAGAGCCTAGGAAAAAGTCACGTTAACGACTCGCTTGACTAGTGCTACGGGTCTACAGTCGAACTCCGCTTAATACGGACACCCATTAATGCGGACAAAGGACGCTAATTGTTTCTTGCCCAGTGAACAGATTCTCATGGAAAGTTAACCTCGATAATGCAGAAACTTCATTATTAACCGTATGTGAGACAAACCTTTCCTTCTTGAAGGCAAAAAAATTTTTAGTTGACAGCAGCATGTCGAACTTCCCAGCACCAGAGTAAACCGGATACGATAATTTATAAACGTCAACTTCAGGCTATTTTCAGGGATCAAACTAGTCAAGCAGAGAACGGTTTGATTAAGTAGTTTATGGATGAGCGATTATTTTTAGTGTTGTTGTGAATTTAGTCCGCGGAATGACGGCTTTGTGAAGGTTAGAGATGTGTTACCTATATGTAGATGATAAGGTCCTCTTATTTTTCTTTCATATTTTGCTCTAATAAAAGGTGTTTTTTGGCTTTATTAACATGACCCGCTTAATACGGACTCCCCGGTAATCAATACAGTCACTTTCTATGGGCCCTGCAGGGTCCGTATTTTAAATGGGGTTTAACTGTATTTCTTTTGGATCAAAGCTGTACCGACCCAAGCGCCGCCAAATCACTCTTGCATGGTAACCACACGTACTGTGGAATCTTTGTTGCTTAATGGATATGAAACGGCGGTACTTTTCAGTTCCCAAAGTGGAGTAAACATTTTAGAGGCTAGGTCTCAGCCAGGTGTAGAAAGTGTTTTTTTCTTTTGTCTGAAATTGGGTCAGGATTTTTAGAACCGGGCGGCACACCCCCACCAAGAATTCGCAGGAGTACCCCGGGGTTCCCGTTGTTTGAAGCAGAAAAATAGTTTTTATTCTCTTGTGAGACCAATCCTTTTGTACAACTGTGAAATTTGGGGTTGTTTTTTAAAATCAGTCGGGAATAACTATGACAAATTTGTCTCGAGAATTTTTGATGAACGAATAACACCCGAGAACATGCATAACAAGGTACGCAAAATGGCCTTAGGGGTTCACTCTAAAGCAAGTAACCATGCTGTGAAGCGAGAACTCAGACGTTTTCCTCTTCATCTTATTATTTACACTAGAATTTTCAAGTACTTCTTAAGATTACTTACCTTACAAAATAACCAAATTTTAAATAGCACCCTAGAGATAAACATCTATTTAAATAATGTAGGTAAGCATTCATGGTTCACTACTATAGGACACCTATTACACTTTACCAAATTAAATGATTATAACCAAATTAAATGATTATACCCCAAATCTGCCACATCTTGACTACAGGACATTTCCTCACCTGGTTAGAATGTTTAAAAGAAATTTGTTCAAAGAATACCAAGAATATTGGTCAAAAAGACCGAACAAAGATAAATTCGACTCCTCAGTTGGTAATAAATTAAGTCTGTTTAGTGAAGTGAAAAACGAAGTCAGATTTGAATCCCGGGGGAGAGTACTCCCTTACAAGAGGCTAATAGGGATGTGCCGCTGGATGGGGATGGAGTGTCATGTACATCATCATCATCATCATCATCATCATCATCATCATCATCATCCCCATTGTCATCGTCATCAATCAACATCGTCATTATTATTATTATTATTATTATTATTATTATTATTATTATTAATCTTATTATCATTCATTCGTTCATGCATTCATTCATTCATTCAAACTACCTCTCCGTTTCTCATTGGTTCAGATCCTCCGGCTAATTCTATTCTTCATGACCAGTTAGCGTTGACCAACTTTGGTTAATGTTTGAGATATATATCCTATAAAATTACGTCCATAGCACAGACTACCCCTAGAAAAAGGCACAGACACCGAGAAGATCTTTAGGCGTGGTTGCGTTAGCACAGTTGTTTTGGTACACTCTTCTTTTTTTCTCTAAGAATATATTTTATGAGAATATCGTAGCTGAAATATAAAAAATTTTATGAATATTTAAGAATAAACCCGAGGCTGAGATTTCGAAAAGGATGATTATTTTGAGCGATGAAAATCTAAAAAATATGTTTTTCACTTAACCGTATCAAAATATTGCTTCCTCCCCCGGCAAAACTACCCAACAAAACGAAAAAACTTGCGTTGGCTTTAATTATAGCCCAATTCAGTGCTAATGACCGTTCGATGAACGGTACAGGAAATACAAATCTATAGTATACAGGACAAGTAAATAAACAAATAAATAAACCAACCGCAAAAAGGATAAGATAAATTCTTTCTTTTTCAATTATAATTCAAGAATAGTACAAGAATATTTTCAGGCTCAAATCCGCAGAAAAAATAAGAATATTCAGCCTGGCCCGAAAAAAAGAATATTAGTCATTCTTATATGACAAAACGAGTGTATAGAGCTGGAGAAAAATTTGCAGAAAATTTCACTCGTTTAACGATGAAGAAATAGCCGAACCTCTGTCTAAAAAGGACGATAACACTCGCAAAATACAACTCAACGAATGAAAACCGCTATTTGAAGAATATCTGCTTTATAGACTCAAATAAATTTGCCGAGGAACACTTAACATCGTTCTAGGGAAGCACGTTTTAGGGAAGGAGTTGTTTAAATGAATAGTTATAGAATCTTCCGATTCGGCTTCTTTATGCCCTGTAGAATTATGCAGATCTCGTAGAGTGTTATCGTCCTCGGCGGATAACATTCACCAAAAGCTACAGATCATAGGAAGGGTGTTGGGTTTAATTGCACGCCCAAGGGTAAAAATAGCCTGCGAGTAAGCTCTCCGGGGCGCCCTTGCGGCGAGGAGGGAAAAGGAAGGAGCGCTTGCATCTACGTCTCTGGCATTTGAATTCCACATCCAATTCCCCTGTGGCTCCCCGTCGACTGAGGTGTCAGATTTCCGCCAATAAGGACGAAGAGGAAACAAGCGCGAATGGAAACAAGCATTGAAAAACAAGTGCCAATGGTAATGACGTCATTGCTAATTTCATCGCCGCTAATCAGCATTTCGCATCAACTTTTTCGATGCAGATGTTCAAATTCCAGTGACGTAGTTGCAAGCTCTCCTTCCTTTTCCCGTCCCGCCGCCAGCGCGCCCCGGAGAGCTTGCTTGCAGGCTAGGACAAAAATGATTATAATAGAGTTCAGTGTTTCAAATCTTGCTTACCGTATATTGATAACACTGTTTACAGAAGAGTGGGGCACCAGCCTGATTACCGATTCTTTTGAGGCATCAAACACGATTCCTGCAGATGACATTGAAGTCAAGATAATGGACCTTGAAGAATGCTATAAGAAGAGAAGAGGAAGACGAACTGTCAAAGGGCCAGTAGAAGATCATTTGGCAGACTCAAAAGTCACTGTTATGATACACGCATCCGAAGAAATCAGCAACGTACGTGCTTTTACACAGAGATGCCCAGATGCTGCGAGACGGACACACGATACTATAGGTAGGTCGCTGCAAACAGTGATTTTTTTCCGCTACCAGCAAGTTTTAAGATAGAATCAGAAAGGTACTTCCGCCTGTACCTAATTCCACTTTGGGACTCTTTCCAAGTTACCCCAAGCCTCTCTTTCAAAGCGAGGCTAAGTGCGAAGCCATTGGTACGAAAATTATTTTTATTTCCAAGCACTTAAAACTTGTTTTCACGAGAAAATTTTTACACTCTGCCTGGTTTTGAAAGTGAGGGTTATTTAAACTCGAAAATGGCCTCTTTTGCAAGAGGCAAGGTAGACGCATTTGGACCCATGTCACCTGCGCAACTTTTTGCAATAGCCAATAAAAGAAAACATAGCTTTCCAAAAACAGCCCGGCGGCGATTCACCACAACTTCAACCCATTCTCTCAAAATGGCTAATACAGATGTATTAAAGGCTCATCATGGTTTTTGAGCCATTATACCATGCTCTCCGCGTCTGCTTAAAATTAAAAACAAACTGAAAATCGGTTGTTTTTACAAATAAAGTCGGGAAGAATTCTCGATATTTTGTGGGCGTTTTTTAATAAAACAGTTATTCTACTCGCGGTTGTTGGATATGAGATGGTGGATAGCTAGGAGGCGCGTAGCGCCGAGTGCGCCGAGTTGGCTATCTACCTTCTCATATCCAACGCGTACTCGTGGAATAATTGTTAATTATTTAGCAATTGGCCATGGCTCGTGAGTGAGCGTGCGTATGTCGAGATATGCCCACGCGGGAAGTTTGGAGAGCACGAAAGATACGAAACTCTAGCCTCTTGAGTGCTCTCCAAACTTCTCAAGTGCTTCATATCTCGACATACGGTCAGCTGAAACATGAAACAATTGTTTATTCGACGCTCACTCAAAGCAGTAGGCGTCAATGTCTACGTGACTATTTAATTGTTGTTTGTTATTTGGCGAGAGCGATCACTTAGAAGCGGGGGGACCCCTAATGTTAACAGTTGGCTTGCTTATCGCTTGGAGTGATTACGTCCCAAGTAAGGTGACTTTTGTATTTCATGACAGCGCTACACCAAAAACATCTGGCTAAACATTCATCCGTCATGCATATTTCAAAAAGGTCAGCTAAAAGGTGCATCATTCTCTGATTGGCCTTTCTTATAACTAACCTCTTGACTTTTCACTTAGAACTCCTTTCATAATTGCAGGCGACAAGAGGAGCCCGCAATCCTAATCTTCAGGTTGATATTACGCATGCGTGGCATGTATGTAGCCAGCATTCGTTTGGACTTCCATTAAGAATGAATGGAATGCACAAAACGCAATTTGATCACGCGCGTTTCGACCTTCTACGCGTCGTCATCTGATTACGTGTGTTTTTTCGATCTGTAACGTTAAACTTCAGCAAAGCACAGCGTTGGAACAAAAGCGTTTGGACCTTTGATCATTGTCGCCCGGACGCCCTAACGTTTGGTTATTACTAGTAATATAATAATTCCATTACAGAAGTAAACTACTATGTTGCAAGTACCGTATTTATTCGATTAACCGCCCTGGGCGCTTATTAAATTTTTGGACCTTGAGAGTGGGCGCTTATTCGAGGTGGGCGTTTATTCGAGGCTGGGCGCTTATTAAATTTTCACCATTCTCAGCAAGTGTAGTAGTATATTTTACAACAAAACAGTAAATGGTACTAACAAAAAGGGAAGATGTAGCAAAGCAAGGTTTCTGTAAAATACTCTGAAGAAAACTCCGTCTTCGGGAGGGTCTCTTACTATCTCTTATCAGGCTCTTATTGGAGTTTTTTTTTTGAGGGAGTGGGGTGGGGGCGCTTATTCGAGGCTGGGCGCTTATTAACTTTTTCTGCCTTTAGCATGGGCGCTTATTCGAGGTGGGCGCTAATTCGAGGTTGGGCGCTTATTCGAATAAATACGGTAATATATTTGAGTGAACTTTAAATTTCCTTCAGGTGCCGTGGAGCTGGAAGTTCGCACGTTGCGGAGTGATGGAGAACGTCGAGTAGTCATCGTTGATCTCAGTTCGGCGACAAAAGACGGGTATCGAGTGTACTGGCTTGAAACAGGAGATATCCTGGAAAGAAATATATGGGAACTGGTCATCAAAACAGAGCTCAGCTCAGGCTTAACGGGACAAGTGCATTCAAGGCCATTCTTAGTTACCACCCCACAATGTTACAAGAAGAGACGCGATGAAGGTGTGTAGTCGGTTTTCATGACAAACTGCAACTCCGGGGAACCATTTCGTATACCCTCTGTCAACAAATATGATACCCCTTTCACGTACCTACTAACAACAAGTCTTCTTGTTATTTTATGTAGCGTTTAATGAGTTAATCTAAAACAGTCATTAGGTGCGTCGGCTCGAAATGTTTTAGTTAAAGACCCTTTTACAAGACATTACTGACAAATTTCCCTGCCCTTTCGTATACTTCAACTCACGAAATCCCTGCATTTTTGTACGCCTGAAGCCTGGAAAAGGTATCACTTTTAGGGGGAGCCTCCCTATATGGGCAGTCATAGGGAGTATTCCCCCCCCTCCCTCACGAGACTGCAACAAACAAGCTTTAAGCTAGTGACCCACGGTTTACATTTCATTGAATATTGCAGCTCTAGTTGCTCAACTTTTTGAACAGAATAGATCCCATCTCTATTTCCAATAAACACTGTTCAACATGTTGAATGAATGGCATAACTCTAAAATTCAACATTCAACATGGCTTGATACTCTTTTCAACATTTTTTGAACAAGTGCGCCAACAGTTATTTTTAAGCAAACTATGTCTCCATGTTGGCACCTGTCTTAACGACAAAAAGTTAATCTCTTCCTGGGCATCGTGAAATAAAACCTAAATAATCGTTAAATATTTTTTCAGTTGCTAGGTCTTCAAAGGTGCAACGACTTATGTGCCAGATAGGGAAGCCTAGTTCCTTCATTGATGACGGTAAAGAAAATAGACTTAGTAGGCTGATTTAGCAACAGGACGGGAAAGTCAGTTGACGACTGGAAAGTGCGCGGAAAGGACTAAACACGACTGCCGGTGCCCAATTTGCCGCTCTGCCATTGGTCAAGCCAGTTTTTTGATCTGCGCGCGCCGTCGTCAACTGACTTTCCCGTTCTGTTGCTAAATCAGCTTATTGTAAACAGGGTATCTAACACTTTAGACTATAACATTTGAGCATTGTTATCGTGAAAAGATAAATCTTTAGCAGACGGATCGATTGTGCTAAGTTGGTTCCCATATTGTGAATAATGCCGTGATATGGATTTTACATCACCTTTTTCGAGAGCTAATTAATTATCAATGTTTTATTGTGGTAAAACCACCAACTGTCGCCACCTCAGGGACCATTTGGTCGGGGGTGGGGTGGGGGGGGGCTGGGTGATGGAAGGATCCAGAGAAACCCCTTTTAAAACGCTGGAGAAGCTCGTAATCTCGTTTAGGTTGTAAATAGTTTCTAATGGACGGACCATTATTTTTGTTTTGGATGGGGAGAGGGGTTGGAAATTTTGAAATAAATTGTTTGCATAGGCCGTAAACACTGAAATAAATTGTATGCAAGTACGTAACAAAAAAAAATGTTTGCATGTGAAAATTAAAGATTTGAATAAAGCCTGCTATTGAAACGACAAACCGGATCAGTTCTAATTGTTCCATACGCTGTTAGGACTAGAAAAAAAATGCCGTGGTTCTAGTCTCTTGTTGATCGTGTTCGACTTTGTCTTTTCCCTGATCCCGGGCTATATTACGCCAATCCTTTTTCTTACTGAAATGTCTTTACTTGTTTTCTTTATATTCCCAGAAAAAATTTCGTTTTTTGGAAAAGCATTTCAAGATTTCAGCTGCAATATGGAGGATCATTTAGCATCCCAATCCTTTCGACAACTGTCCTTTTTCTTGGACGCTGAGGTCCCCTCGGAAAAAGTCGTGTTTCAACCGAACACTGTTTTAAACAAAAACATGGTGAGTTAATACGCTGATGCTTCAACCATAGAAATATCTTCATTCTATTTTTTCGCTCCACTTCTGACACCATGTCGACCGACAAATGTTCACTGAAGCGTAATATAGGCGCATTTTGCCTCGTTAGCATATGCCTTTAATTCTCTGATCAAGCTATTAAAATAAACTCTGCGAATATCGGAAAAGTATAACAATTTCAGTTATCTGTGAAAATCTCAGCCGAATATACTGAATAGCCTTTAAGATGGCTGTTAGTAAAAGGAATGAAGAGTGACAGAGAAATTGGAATGTACAACAGCGCCATCGTCTTTCGTACAGCTCGTCATAGGCTTGCTTTTTAACGGTTTAATCTGTTTACCATAAAACCCCTGGAAGAGACTGAAGCCCATCCTTGAGTTTACTCCCGTAATTCTCCAGTAGTCTCACTGTAGTAGACTGTACCTAAAGATCTTGTGGCTATCACGGTCACGAAGATATTACAGTTTTAGGTCAATTCTGCGCTGAAGTAAAAAACTGCCCACCTACCGTTCCCTTAAGCCAACATTTTGCCCTAAATGAGAAGTAAGAGGTAAAAAATTGGCTTAAGGGAGGAGTAGGTGGGCATTTCCCCCGAAACCTAACTTGATCCGTCATTGCATAGTACTTTGACCCATACACACTCCTGTAGGGTTATAACGAAGATAGTCAAATAAAATTCATCACGGAGCGCTAACATAATAAGTTTTGTGGATGATTTTTGCAAGCATACCTTTTTAGCATTAATTACAACTTGAAAAATTTGGCCCAGTTTTTTTAAGTTTTAATTCATGTCCATCCATGCCATCCTAGCAACAGACGACAGGAAACAGTTTCTAAAATATATAGTCTTACTATTCCAATTCTAAAACTGGACGGCATGGTCATTTTTAAAATTTAATTCATGCGAAGACACGTTTTGGGTTTTTAACATCGTCCTCTTAAGTAAATAAAGAAATAAAGAAATAAAGAAATAAAGAAAGAACAGAAAACCAGTGTAAAAGAGCGAAACAAAATAAGTAAAATAAATAAATATATGCATAAATATGATTAAAGATCTCAGGGGAGAGACTGCACGGCTTTGGAATATCAAGACCCACAATGCAACTGTAGTGCCTACCCTTGGAACGGTTAAAAAAAGCGACAGATCAGGATTATCAGGCATACTAAAGAAGCTAGAAGCACGAACACTTGACTTTGTCTAAGAAAAGGTGTTTTAAAGAAAGAAACAGAGCGCCACATAACAACTGTCCTGGATCAGGCGTTACGTACCAACAGCTAGTATAAGAAAAAGAGTTTACGGAGAGGATAGATTCCCATTGTGTAGAATGTCTGGAGAACGTGTAGAAACCGTTTGTCACATCATGTGACAGAATGCAAGAAATTGGCTCAGAAAGAATGCAAAGGTTGGAGACGGGATCAGATTGGTAAATACGTTCGCTGAGGACTTTGTCGAAAGTTTGGTTCTGATTGCTCATCAGCAAAAACTAGCCTCAGGGTAGCTGCTCCTTCTATCCGTTTTTGCTTTGACGGGGGAAGGGTGCGGTTACATGTAGGCCTGTGGAGAAGTCGGAAGATTGTAAGTTACCATAGAATTTACCTATTTAAACTGATCACACTGAACAACAGCACAACAGACTAGACATCGCAGTTGTAGGCAAGAAGGAAAAGATCTGCACATTAATAGATGTCGCATGCCCTTTAACCGTCTAGTACCTCTTACAGAAAAAGAAAAAAAATCGAAAAATACGAAGACTTAAAAAGAGAGGTGAAGCGTTAGTGGGACTCAGGGGCGGATCTAGGGGGAGGGTGCAGGGGGTGCGTACCCCCCCCCCCCGAGATGACCTGCGGGTTTCTAATACAACTGGTGTTCTGCAAAAAAAGAAAAAACTATGTGGTTTATTGGTGTTGAAGTACAGCAAGAGACGAGTGCACCCCCTCCTAAAAAAATCCTGGATCCGCGCCTGGAACTGTAAAGATGTGATTGTACCAATCGTCGTCGGTACCCTCGGAACAGTCATCAGCAAAAGATTGCATCTGTATCTAAAGAAAGCAGGACTTGACGGAAGTATACGGTAGCCACTATAAAAAGCTTGTTTACTGGGAACAGCAAGAATTAGGTTATGGATACCTAAGGTGATGGGAGTCCACCTGGTTCCAGGAAATGAGCCGACTGGAAGACCTTGCTAACTGACAATAATAATAACAACTGATAATAATAATGATAACAATAATAATAATAATAATAATAATAATAATAACAATAATAATAATAATAATAACAATAATAATAATAATAATAATGTTTGTGTTTTTTAATGCCATTATTATGATTATTATTTATTTAATTTTTAGATAATGGACTATGGAACAGTATAGGATAAATTTTAGACTGTTATTAGGTTACAAATTTTACATGTAATATAACTCATGCCAGGAGCCCATGCACATAGTAATATTTTATATTTTCTGATCGGTAGATTAATTAATTTTATTATTTTTTTGAAAAAAAACAGCAAAAACAAGGTTGTTCACGGTTCGCCGCCCAGCTTTTGTGATTTTTAGTTGGATCTGGCATCCAGATGTTTTAAACTGCCTACATAATAATAATAATAACAGTAATAATAATAATAATAATAATAATAATAATAATAATAATAATAATGACGATGTTGATTGATGACGATGACAATGGGGATGATGATGATGATGATGATGATGGTGACGCACATGATGTACTGGTGATAAAGATGATGATGATAATACTAATAATCTTTTTTTAAAAATATAATGATAATAATAATGGGTCAACGATGGTGATGGTATAATATTTGTTTTCAGGTAACAGCTCACTTCAATCGCGAACAAAGAATCCTCTATGCTGTTGAGCAACATGAGATCCCCGGTCTGATGAAGTTGATCAGTAAACGATCAACGCTTATCGCTCCTTGTGGCGTAGCAAACAGATGTAACTCAAGAAGAAAAGGATACCGGTGGGCTTGTGGCCGTTGCTTTTTCGAACGCGGAAAGAAATCGACAATTAAAAATCATTTAATTCAACAAGTTTGTCAAAAGTCAGTTGAAAGTAGGAAACGGGAAAGTAGAAAACTGCAGTTTAACTTCAATCAAGAAAATGTGCCGTAAATACGCTGTGTGCTAGAAGACTCTTGAATTACGCACTAGCGCATAGCTAAGGCAGGGATCGTGAACTTACAGCACCGTCGCGAAGATGCTTGTGTCAATTTTGTAAAAAGAGTTAGTCCTGACAACCCAATCTTCCCTTTAACTCAAAGTAGAATTGTTGACGGGCTTATCATGTTCTGCTGTTATGTGTTTACCCTCATTTTTTAAATAAAATTGATTGTTATTATATATTATTATTATTATTATTTCAGGCCTAGATTTTTGATAGTTTTTTTTTTCTTAGTAATGCCTGATTTTCCTTTTCCCACTTTTAAATTATTCACAATTGTAAATAGTTTTCTATCGTGGGCATATATTTAGTTTTTAAATTTGTAAACAATACGATATAGTTTAAAATTGTAAATATTACTTATTGTTCTGATACTTATTATTATTATTATTATTATTATTATTATTATTATATTATTATATTATTCAATATCAAGCAGCATTTGTAAATTGCCTATAAGTGGCGAGATTTACAATTGTACATTCAAAATCACAAATAAAGTTTCCATTATTACTTATCTTCGGCTTACTGTACACGATCAAATCGATCATTAATCACCCTACCATCTAATACTGATCGTTACGCTGATTTTGTAACTGTAAAATATGCTACCGTTCAGGAGTGTCCTGTATGTATTGTTTATGTAACTGACCTGTACCTGCAATTCAGCTGTAAGCTGCGAAAGGTGTCAATAAACAAGTCATTAATCCAGTCTAGCTAGAATAGAGTTCATCCTTGTTTTTGCTTTTCTTGTGTTCAATCTGCGAAAACGGCCGCCCTTTTCCAGACGAATTTGTACCATATATAATGATCATCTCTTCCCCCGACGAGTTTGAGTTAAAGAATCGTTCTGCCATGGAGCAGCTCTGACACTGATAGAACACTGACTTTGACGATTAACTCAAATAACGATTAATTCGAGGTAACTGCGACAGAAAATTTGATCTGCGTATAAAAGGATGCTTAGGAGGCCAAAAAAAGCTAACAAATATGTTCAAGTTAATATAGAATTCCGAGAAAAATAACCATTGTTGAAAATTGAACCCAGCTTCGGTCACTTGGTCTTTGAATTTCTTTTATCAGATGAGTCACTAAATCGCCTGGATTACACTAACAGCTATAACAAAATGAATTTGATAAAATAATGTTAAGTGTAATATTCAGGGCTCAATATCTCGTGTCTTACTCCACATTATCGTTTTTTACCGTCGTTTTATAGATAAAAAAGGATGAAAAAAATACTAACACGACGACACCAACATAATGTGAAAAAAATATTTATCATTCGTTCTGATTATTTTCCAGACTTCAGATGTACGCACGGGCGTATGTGCGTATATGGATGCTACGAGTCCTGGTATAATAATTCTCCAAGACATTGACAAGTAAAATAGAAACAAGGCCATTTTATACAAAAAAAAATTTAAATTTTGAAAAACATGACGGTCAAACCCAGTTTGCCACGGTGCACGTCTCGGCGTAGGGCGAAATAATTTTACTGAGGAAAAGTTGCTAAGTTTGGAGGTCATAGCTTGAACGGTTTTGAAGTGAATCAACTTTTTGGCGAGGGGGCCTCAAAAGCTCTTCACCCCCCCCCCCCCCCCCGATCGTCTGAATAGGATTAATAACAAAGTGAACTAGTATCACCATGGTAATCGGCTCTTGATATTGCAGGGAACCGAGAATTGCTTAGAGATGTGTCTCAAGGAATAACGAGCGCAAAGGAAGAGAAATTATTTGTATACGACAACTTCTTTATTGCAATTAAATTAATGTTAAAAGTTCTTATTTCGTTGTTTGTTCTAGAATGGCCGATCTTTTAGGGGTCAAAAAAATCTTGTGAATGAGCCACGCCCTCACCAGCTTCCTTTGGGGTTTAATTCCAGTTTTCCGACGGGTATTCAGGCCCCAATTCACCTGCGAGTCCGGGAGACTCACTTGTTACAAGGAATTCTTGCTGGAGAATACAACTGATTACCATTGCAATCAGCTAAATAAATTTGTTTGTATTAACACATCAACATTTTACTTTAATTATTATGATATACATAAAGCCATGTGGCACATTTGTAATTGGGTTATTCTATGAAGGGTGCGGGAAAAATGTCCTGCACCTCAAACGCCCGGGAAATAGAGCCTATTTTACCTTATAATTTCTTTTACGTTTGTCCAAACGTATTTTCTCTGATAGTTTTCTCTATTCTTTTTAGAGCATCCAATCATCAAATCGTAGACATAGAGACTTTTTTTAAATTAAACCAAGAGATCATGATAGGACAGTCCTATTATGGCTCTTGATTAAACTGAATTTGCCTTTCAAGCTTTCATATCTGAATTCAAATTTTGTACTAATCCTGGGTTATCTTAACCCAGCTTTGAACAAACTAACGAAACCTGGCCCTGATGCGTATGACATTACTGTGAATTCTTTACGACAGTTGTTCCTTTAGTAATGCTTGTATAACGTTTCACGTGGTTTGAACACCTCATCATATCGATAGTTGATTGTTTTAATGCAACGTAACAGAAGGGATCTTCTTTGTCTGCGGTTTGAATTTCTTTCCTTCGAATAATCCTGATAAAGACATAACTTGGCACGATCTCGAAATCTCGGAATCGCTTGTGACAAGTCTCGAAGTCTTTTTTTGGGGTGATTTTGCGTCTCGGAGTCTAGAACTTTTTTAAGTCTCGGTCTCGAATTTTGAAACCGAAGTCTCGCAGTCTAAAGAGTCACAGTTACAACAAGCTAGTGTTTAGAACAGCTTGGATTACTGTTGTTCGTCTCTGAGAAGCTACTCGAACCACATTCACTTTTTTCAGCGTTGTTTCGAAGCAGGTTCTTGTTCTAGAGAGTAATCTGTTAAGCTCCCAATGTCTTTCGTGAGGAAATTGGTTAGTTTCAGAAGGCTGCATTCATTTTAGCCACTGAGGACCTAAAGAGGTACCCCTTTAGGGCGGGTCCTCCCCGTATAGTTCATTATATGAAGTACCCCCGGGCCCGCTTTGCAGGCTAATTTTGAGCCCTCATATCGCCTCATCAGATTGAGGTTGGCCAATCTGAATTACTTGGTTGCTATCACACCGACCAAAGCTTAAAGCCCTTTTGAAGGCCGTTCGGTGCTGAGGATTCATAATCCCGTATATAAATGGATTTACTAAACTACCTGTGAACATAAGGAAAAAAACTGCCGTAGAAACCTCCCTGGGGACAAAATACTCAGCGGACTCCATTACCACAACAACAGTCACTGGTCCCCATATTACCAGAAATACACAAACGACAGTGAAACTGGTTTTCAAGACTCTAATATCAGCTCGAGGACGTCCAGAAAATATCGCTCCCTCATCTGTGCCATGGGCATTTAGATTGTTAATGCTTTCTTTAAGAGTCTTGTAAATTTTGTAGTAGCAGTAAAATATTGCAGCTGTGGTCGTGTTGTTCACTCCGCCCACGAGTATTATGACATATGAAATATGCTCGATTTCCCAGTTAAAACTGCAGACAGCATATGTAGGGTGGTACACCATCTTGCCCCAACCGTACAATGGCGGTGATGCAAGAAGAATCGAAGATATCCATAAGAGGGCGCAATAGACTCGGGCCATTTTCTTGCTCGGGAAAATCCTTCTGTAAAGCTGCGCTGATTTGACAACTCGGATATATCGGTTGAAGGCGATCAGTCCCATATTGAGGATAGAGGCAATTCCTAACGTAGCCTCAATCAAGGCTTGAAAATCACACCACGTCTCGCTAAAAATCCAAGTCCCTGTATACAGACTTATTACCCAATAGGGCATGTGTAGCGTTGCCATGGCAATGTCAGTCAATGCCAGGTTTTGGATGAATATATTCGTCAAGCTCTTGAGTCTGGAGTCTTTATGGACAACATAGACAACTAATAAGTTGCCGAGGAAGGACATGAGGGAGATTAGAATAGCCAAGGCCACTTCCAAACCAATTTGACTGTAAGAACGTTTTAGGGGGTCGTGGGAACTCGATCCAATTTGAGAGTTGTTCGCCATATATGCGGACAGAATAAAATTACAAAATGGCAATCCTGCAAAAAAGGTAAATACATAAAATATTGATATTAAAAACAATAACAACAACAATACTACTACTACTACCACTACTACTACTACTACTACTACTACTACTACTACTACTACTACTACTACTACTACTACTACTACTACTACTACTACTACTACTTTGACAACAATGGTCTGTGTGAAGTCTTTCAATCTGCCTACTGTGCTCATCATAGCACCGAAACGGCTCTTCTCAGAGTCTACAATGACATTGCTATGTCCATTGACAATCAAAAATCTGTTGTTTTGGTTCTACTGGACCTGTCTGCTGCTTTTGATACAGTTGATCATTCTCTTCTCCTTGCTAGACTATCTACCCGTTTTGGCATTTGTGACCAGACACTGGACTGGTTTCTTTCATATCTATGTGATCGCACTCAGTATATCAGAATCCAGGATGTCTCTTCTGATGTGCATGCCTTACCTTATGGAGTACCTCAGGGTTTCGTGTTGGGCCCCTTGCTGTATTCTTTGTACACCTCCCCCTTAGGTGATATTGCAAGATCTCATGGTCTATCTTATCACTTTTATGCTGATGATACACAGCTTTATTTATCTTTTGAAACGTAATCGCCTGAGGATTTGTCAACATGTAAATTAAATCTGCTCTTGAAGATTGTGTTAAAGATATTGACCTTTGGATGTTAAATAACAAGCTGACGCTGAACAGTGGGAAGACTGAAATTATAGTTTTTTCATCCTCCTATCGCCCACGTCCTGCTTTAAAAAACCTGGTGATTGCCTCTGACACTGTTGACTGTTCAACTACTGCTAAAAATATTGGGGTTATTCTTAATAACTCTCTATCGATGTTGCCGCACGTTACTGCTGTTTGCAAGTCTTGTTTTTTTCATTTACG